AGTGCCGGGATGCATAAGCGATTGAAGAATCGCCGCCGCTCCGCATCGAAGAAGAGTCATAGGAAGGGTCAATCTGATCTGTGCGTGCAATCTTTTCAATGGAGCAATGAGTCGTCTAATCGCATAAGAGCCCATTATTCAGGCCGGTATTAACCCCTCCTTCAAAAAGCGAGAAAGTGTCGGGTGCAGACGAAACACCACAACTGACGACGGCCTCCAAGTAAATCTGGTTAGAAGTTGTTCATATTGGTATTGGATTTCTAGGGCTGCCAGCTGTTTTCGCTTGCCAGGCGCTAGGAATGGACAGATAGGTGGGCAAATCTCGTAATCGAGTGAGAAATGCTTTTAAATTCCTTCACGGGGAAAGTGAATAAATGCTCTCTTTTCGTAACCACTATTTGTCGTTCTGATCGAAATCCTACTGTTATATGTTTAGATAATCTTTACGCATTGGACATTGCAGAAATTATTTTGTGACATTCATGTTTTTGTTCATTTACAAAACAAAATCTGCGGTTATGTGGTGAGGCGGCGGCGCCCACAAAATCGCGTCCGTCCCACGCGACCGAAAAGTGGAAAAGGGGCGTCGTCGTGAATGTGTTAAGAACATGGGGATACGTCCCCATGTAGATTGGGGACCCATCCCTGGATAGATATGCATACGGTCCCAGAGCTTCGAAAAACGTAAAGTGAGGCTTAGATAGGCTTCAGACTTCGCGATTACAGTCGCGTGGGGGGTGCCGTTATTGAGCCGTATGGTCACTGTGCCAACTCACGACTGCGCCTGCGATTGCAACAGTGAAGCTTGACGCCTACTTTAGGCCTACGTTAGACTTATGCTTGCAGTTTGCTTGAACCTACCCAATGTGGGTTTAGGTCAACACCAAGTCTTATTGTAGGCCTTCTGCAAGCAAGTCAGAAGTGTTCTAATTAGAGGTGACCTGACGTCACCAGGAGAATTGCTATACCACCATTTCTATAATTAATCCACACTTTACGGTGACTGTAAACGGTGCGGGCCACCGTTTACGGCCCTTTATTGGATCGATAGCTACCCTGAGTTGAGCTGCACTCAGTTATCAGCCGTACAGTCCCTTCTTGATAGTGTAAGTGCTGGTGAAGAGAACGTCGACGCACGGTGTGGTTCGCTAGGACAGAGGGACACAGAGCAATTTCCCGCTTTTTCGCGCGACTTTTTTCCCTGCGAACCCCAGGTTCACTCCTCATCAGTGGTAGACCTGGGTGCCTCACAGGGAAAAAGTTTTGCGCTGCGAAAAGTCGGAAAAGTCGCTTTCTGTTCAAGTGAACCACACCCGACGACGCCATGAGAGAGTCCTATCTCTGGGAGTTGTATCGGATGAGAGGGATTCACTTTCGGGAAGTGCACGTGATATTAATTGGTTCAGTAGGGATTTTCTGGATTTCTACTGCTCCACTTTCGTTTTTAATTGCCTTCCCCACCCACAACGAAGTCGACGGGATTTCAAGGTAGTAATGCTGGTGGGGAAAGTGGGGGGGGGGGGTGGGAGGCGGTCGTGGTGTTTCGAAAAAATTTTCCGCCACTTTACTTGAGACTACTCTGAGCGCTCAGCGTAAATTTTCGCTCCCGTTCAACTAGAAGGGTTTACCACATTTTTGTGGTAATTGACTCGAAAGAAAGCTGGCGCTATTTGGCGTTTAATATTCGCTAGTCTGCGCCCTCTCACTGATTAGCTCGCGATCAGGACTAAGCCTTTGGGGAAAGGAGTGTCTCCGAGGTGAGTAAACCACTCACCCTGTGATTCTTATACGCTTCAGCTTTTGCCACACGTTGCCTGATTCATTACCCCGGCCCCCTCTCCCCATACGCTTGTCTTAGGTAGTATGTATATGTGAGAGAGCCCAGGAGAACGGAAATATGCGTGGAACTGTGCAAATGCCAAAAACGAATGTCATATCCGTAAGATTCAGATATCGCTAGCGAATTGCTGGATCCGAGCGTTGCGCCAGCGAATCGAGCGTTGCACCAGCGAATCGAACTGTGTACCAGCGAGTCGAACTATGTACCAGCGAGTCGAACGATGTACCAGCGACTCAACATGTTTGAAAGTGGCGGGACCCAACGTTTAAAGC